GGTGCCCCGGCCCCCTGGAGGTACCGTCAGGCCTCTTGGGAACACAGGTTCTCGCGGAAAAGACCCGCAGGGCCTCTCGTCGGGGGGGGGGGGGGGGCCGGACCCCAAGGCTGACCCAGGCCCAGGAGCTGAAGGCCCAGGGGACAGGGGCCCCCAGGGGGCAGGCGGCTGCAGCCCCGGGGGACGTCCTGCTCCGAGGAGCAAAGGCTGAGCGTGACCCTGAAAGCAGTTTAGGGTGCCACGTGGGGGGCCCTGCCACCCTGTGCAGGTCCCCAGGGTGGAGAGACCCTCACAAAAGGGACAGCTGTGGCCCCCACGACACCCAGTGTGCACACCTGTTGGGTCGCCGTGTGGCTGTGGAGGAGGGAGTGGCCCCCAAATTCCCAGACAACGGGGAGGGGGGGGGCGGTTGGGGAGGGAGGAACGAGACTCCCTGCTTATTTGTCACCTGGGAAGCTGGGGGGAAGGCGCGTGGCCCGAGTGGGTGACACGGATCACGTTGGGGCCCTGAGCCCCAGGCCCGCCCTCCATCCAGCTCTGGGGTCTCGGCTTTGGGGTGTGCGATGGGGGCCCGCAGGGCGGTCGAGCAGGTACTCGAGTATAGGTCCGGGAGGAACCAAACCGCCCCTTCTCCTGACGCTCACACACGCACAGCTCAGGCGGGTGCCCACCCGTGAGCAGGAGTGGACACACACCGTGGCCCCCACCCCTCCCGGGAGCGGGAACCCATCCCGGCTCAGCTGCCCCGTCTGTCTGTCTGTCTGTCTGTCCAGACAGAAGCCTCGCCCATCTGTTCTTCCGAAACCACTCCAGCTCTCGGTTCTCCTTCCTCACTTTCAGTTCCTCTTTTTCTATTATTGTTCCCAACCTTCTGGCCCTTTAATACAGCTCCTCATGTTGGGACCCAACCATAACATTATTCTCGTTGCTACTTCATCACTGTCATGTTGCTCCTGTGATGAATCGTCACGTAAATATCTGATATGCAGGATGGTCTTAGGCGACCCCTGTGAAAGGGTCGTTCGACCGCCAAAGGGGTCGCGGCCCACAGGTTGAGAACCGCTGCTCTAGATGTTGAAACATGAGCAACTCCCCAAGAGATGTTTCACTTACTTTCCCTTCTCCCCACGGGCCGCCGGGGCCACCCCGCCCAACGCCGGGCTCATAGGCCGGAGCAGGACAGCTGAACGCTTGTACCTCCCTCTGCGGGGTTCCCACAGGGCTGCACGCTGCCCCCAGCCCAGCCCCGACCCCAGGGAACAGCCCGGGGGGACCTGCACCCGCCGCTAACAGGGCTCCACTCGGCGTGGGAATGGGCAGCTGGACTTTCTTCCAACCAAGCGCACAGGCTGCTGCCCCCGGAGCGCTGGGCGCAGGAGCCACGGGGACAAACACAGGCTCTGCGTCACTGCTGGACCTCACGGCCGGGGCCCACCCCACCGGAACCCAGGACCCAGGGCCACACCTCCCCCGGAACCCGGGACCCAGGGCCACACCTCCCCCGGAACCCGGGACCCAGGGCCCCACCCCACCCGGAACCCGGGACCCAGGGCCCCACCAGCAGACACAGAGGGACAGCCAGGGCCCCAGCTCGTCTCTGTCCCCCCGGCCTCAGTGGGAAGGGGAAGGCGGGGTGGCCATGGTCGTTGGCCAGGGACCAGCCCAGGGACACACACAAAGGCCACGGGTGTGTCGACGCTCCCCAACTGTTCCACACGCACACCTCGCCTGATTGTTAACAAACGTGGAGCCGACACCTTTACACACCGCTTCTGCACACGCGTGAACAGCGAATGCTACTCAGACCGTGCTGAAGCGCTAGTCACTACCCAGGGCACCACGCACCTCTTCAGCAACGATGGTCTGAAAACTTTCATTTTTTTATTATTATATTTTTTAAATATATTGATTCTAGAGAGGAAAGGAGAGGAAGAGAAACATCAATGATGAGAATCATTGATCGGCTGCCTCCTGCACGCCCCCTACTGGGGATTGAGCCCGCAACCCAGGCCCGTGCCCTTGGCAGTAATCGAACCCGGCCCGGGACCCTTCAGTCCGCAGGCCGACGCTCTATCCATCGAGCCAAACCAGCCAGGGCTGAAAAGTTACCTTTTGAAAGAACTGCCTGTTGGTACCAATGTGAACGCACGCCCGGTGCGGTAGGCACCCTGAACCGAAGGCAATTATGTGCACTGTCCGGGGTGGGGCAAAAGTAGCTTTACAGCTGTGAGCAGCGGAAGTTTCTTCTTATTTACTAGAGGCCCAGCACACATCACGCGAGACCCAGACCCGCCATGCCGGGGGCGGGTGGGGGGGGGGGGGGACGAAGGACCCAGAAACCCGCCGCACCGCCAGACCCATAAACACACCTTCTGGCGACCGGTCGTTTGGCCGTTCCAGCCACTGGCCTTTTATAATACAGATGGTACCGTTTCCCATACGAACACTTGTAAACCGTTCGCCCCACCCTGTGTAGCAAGGAAACAGTAAGAAGACATCACTTGTGAACAGCTGAGCCTTTAACCGAATGGCAGCAGGAATGAGATGGAGGTGAGAAGCCGAGCCTGTTATAGTCTAAACGCAGCCTCGACGTCAGCAATGCACCTCCCCGGCCTTCAAGTCTGTTCCTTCCGTTTGACGGAGTCACCGGTTCAAGGAAGAGGCTGAACCCTACGAATTCTAGGTCCCGGGGAGACTCACATGTGCTGGTGAGTTTAACGAAGACGAGAAGTGCAGATAGTCAGAAATAAAGACCTGGGTTTAAAAATGTATGTATTAGAACAAAATGGCTCACCGGGGCCGGTTTGGCTCGGTGGATGGAGCGTCGGCCTGCGGACCGAAAGGTCCCAGGTTCGATTCCGGTCGGGGGCATGTGCCTGGGTTGCGGGCACATCCCCAGTGGGAGATGTGCAGGAGGCAGCTGATCGATGTTTCTCTCTCATCGATGTTTCTAACTCTCTATCTCTCTCCCTTCCTCTCTGTAGAAGATCAGTGGAATGTATTTAAAAAAAAAAAAAAAATAGAACAAAATGGCTCAAAAAACGTTAACTATGTATGTTGACAGATGTTAAGAGTTCCTGACCGTTTCACAATCTGTTTTCAGTATCAAATCACGCTGTGCACCTGACACTCGCATGTCACTACCTCACAAAATGGCTTTAATATGAATCTCACTTCAACTTCTGGTAACACGTTAGGACCATCTCGCCTGTATTTAACTCCAGTTGCTCTGTCGCACGAGTTGCTCTGGAGTCACATTCGGAATGACCGTCAGCCCCGGGAGGCGTGGCCCGGCTGGCTGGGCGTTGTCTGTGCACCAAAAGGTTGCCAGCTCCATCCCTGATCAGGGCACAGGCCCGGGTTGTTAAGACTCCATCCCTGGTAGGGGGCCTGCAGGACGCAGCTGGTGGATGCTCTCACATCCATCAATCCCTCCCTCCTTCCCTCTAAAAAAAAAAATCAAAAAAAAAGGATGACTAAATTAAAAAAATACTTCACAGATGTTATGTCCAGGGAAGACACTGCCTTCTTTAGCATCCGCGGGAAACCTCTCCGTGTTCTGCTCTTACACTATAAGTGGTTGTGGGGGGGCTTGGTGAACAACGAAAAACCCAGGATTTCGGGCATCGTGAACGTGGGCAACACCCTAACCCAGTGGTCGGCAAACTCATTCGTCAACAGAGCCAAATGTCAACAGTACGACGATTGACATTTCTTTTGAGAGCCAAATTTTTTAAACTTAAACTATATAGGTGGGTACATTGTTATTCACTTAATGAGGGTGCTCTTAAGCTGGCCTTTGCTAAAAACGTCCTCAATCTGATTGAGGTGCGTTCGCTGAGGTCGACCCCTTCCAACTCTCCCATCCACACTCGTCTTATATGCTTGTTTCAGATAGACAGGTGTGGATGGGCGAGTTGGAAGGGGTCGACCTCAGCGAACGTACCTCAAAACAATGTACCTCCCCCGCGCTGCATCTCCCGTCGCCCGACTGACCAACACCCCCCACTTCTTCTAACGCCACTTCTTCAAAATAGACTCGCCCAGGCCGAAAACCGACTTCTGCGCATGGGCCACCAAGTTTCAATCGCACTGTACGTGCGCACCCACACGTGGTATTTTGTGGAAGAGCCACACGCAAGGGGCCAAAGAGCCGCATGTGGCTCGCGAGCGGCGGTTTGCCGACCACAGCCCTAAACAATGATGGACAGCAAGCTGTCACTCAGGTGAAAATCCCTCAATGCTCAGAATGAGTGACAGTTTAGGAAAAACACAGCCACAGCCGCGTGAATCTCTGACCTCTGAGCCGGAACTCGACAGAACGGGACAGGGAACCGCCAGAGCGGCTGCGGGTCAGGGCAGGCGCCGGAGCCACGCGTCTCGTCCCCGAGGCCAGGCAGGAAGACCCCCGCCTGAGACCAGTCTCCACACGAGGGGAACACAGACACAAAGGGTGTGTAACGCAGCCACACAAGCACGCCGCTCTTTGAAATTTAAAGAAAAATTTATTGAAGATCTGAAAAACAATTCCTAAAAGACTGGCTGTCCCGGAAAACCGCAGCTACACAACGCGTGGCGTCTATTGTGGGCAGACGTGCATCAGACACAAACACAAAACCGTGAACAAGCCGCCATCTCAGCATCTGAGCAAAGACCAAGGCCCAGGGCACCGCGGGCGCGACTTGCAGAGAAGCTCGTACTGTCAGCACCAGTAAAAACAAAGGAGCACAGACGGACGGACGGGGTTATGTACACGGGGTGAACCTTTGGCACTGGGGACAGCGTTTGTCATCGAGCAGAAACACGTTATAAAAGTGCGTCGTGTCAAAGGAGGAGGAACACCGGCATTAAAGCAGCTTCGCCCACTAGGCACAGAAGACTCTACAGTCCGCCTCTCCGTGGTCTGTCGATACACTGGTAGCGACTTTCAAAGGAAAAAGGAAAAAGGAAAAGGAAAAAGGAGCTGGAACCCCTTTTATTTTCTCTGTTTAAAATCCAACAGAAAACAAACACCGATTCAGTTATACACGGACATGTTCAAGGTCAGCATTTGTACAGGAGGATAAGGACGGGGGGCTGCAGACCCCGCGGGGGGCCTCACACGGCCTTCCGGTGGTACTCGGGGGGGGCCACCTCGTAGTCGCTGGCGCTGAACAACGTCGCCGAGTTCTTCGCCAGGTACCTGCGAACAGAGGTCACCCGTCACACAGGAGGTCCTGACCCAAATCGCTTCTCCCTTGTTATAGAAACGAGCCACCAAAACACTTGTGAACACCTACCGCACAGTAACACCACAGAATTACAGCACACGTAGTGTGAGATCCCAAGGAGAAAGAAGAAAGCCCTGAATTCTCCCCCATTTCCAATCGGCGAGAAGCGTTACCTTCAGAAAACCAACTTGAGTTTGGACTGTTTCTTTTAAGCAACTGTTGGTGTTATCTCCAAGAATAACATTTTGGCGTTTTCTTAGCTCCTTAAGACTATTTAAAGCTACTTCCATTCCCAGGCTCACATGGCAGCCTTAAATTCTTTTATTATAAAACAGACGGTGTTAAGAAAATTCAAATACAGAAATGTGTGAAGGAGCAATAGAAAACGTCACCCTTTCTTCCCAGCACCACACCAAGAAATAATCCACTGTCAAGCTGAACCAGACTTCCCCAGGTGTTTGGAAAGATTGAAAATGTTGCTCTACCCGGTGTGGCTCAGTGGACAGAGCGTCGGCCTGTGGACTGAAGGGTCCCGGGTTCGATTCTGGTCAAGGGCATGTACCTTGGTTGCGGGCACATCCCCAGTGGGGGGTGTGCAGGAGGCAGCTGATCGGTGTTTCTCTCTCATCGATGTTTCTAACTCTATCCCTCTCCCTTCCTCTCTGTAAAAAATCAATAAAATATATTAAAAAAAAAAAAAGATTGAAGATGCGTCTCTACAAATGAGGGGTCACAGCACCCTCTCCATTACAACCTGCTTGGAAATCGTTGTGCATCCAAGTATTTCTATCGGTAAGTTCCCAAAGAGGAAGCATGTGTAAAAACTGAGTATGCACTGCCAAATGCCCCCCAAAACCTGTAGAAATAGACGTCTTCCCCCCAGTTCTTCTATCTTTGTACTCGTAGCGAACCTGACAAGAGCTGTTAACTGTCATCGTGTTGGACATTCTTTGTGCTCCCATGTCTGTGAATTCCCAATGTACTCTCATCACGGCTTTGTTCGCCTTTCCCTATTGCACACTCTTTGTACACTCAGGGCACCAGGTCCTCTATCCTACGGAGCTTCCCATCGCCCGTCACCTTTAAGAGCAGAGTCTTATCACGTAGAATTCTCAGTATTTATAGTCAAATTTATCCATCATTTCCTGTATTATTTTTTAGAAAGGCCATTCTCACTACAGAAATCATAAACATACTGCGCTACATGTTCCCCTTCGCTACCTCATGGTTGAAGTTTTTGATTCACCGTTTTCACGCATGACAGTGCGATCTGAGCTCCATCCCCTCCCAGACCAGCCGGCTGTTGCCGTCACTGCCCCCTCAGCCGAGTAGAGGCCTGAGCGTCTGCACGAATCTGTTCCGTAACCACATCTACTCCGGCGCCACCACCACCATCTTTACTTCCGTTTTACGGTTTAACACCGAGAGCCCGCCCACCACGGAGTCATGTTCAGGGGCTGCGCTCACTCTGGTTTTCACCTCAAGCACCGCTCAGACTTACTTGAGGAAATCGTGCAGGTAATTCAGTAACAAAGCCAGGCTCTTCTCGTCCAGCGGCGTGTAGGCCAGCATCGCTCCGATGCGCACTGTTCAGACAAAGCAATTCCGTCAGAGTTACCTCCACGGGAGCACCACCCGCTTATTCTAATTACGGCAGCAAATGCAACCATCACCAACTCCTTTAAAAACCGTAATTTTAGAAACTTGACTTTTAAACTGATAGTAATTTTAGACAAAAGTTCCAATGGGAGCCGAAACCGGTTTGGCTCAGTGGATGGAGCATCGCCTGCGGACTGAGGGGTCCCGGGTTCGATTCCGGTCAAGGGCATGTGCCTGGGTTGCGGGCACATCCCCAGTGGGAGATGTGCAGGAGGCAGCTGATCGATGTTTCTCTCTCATCGGTGTTTCTGGCTCTCTATCTCTCTCCCTTCCTCTCTGTAAAAATCAATAAAATATATTAAAAAAAAAAAAAAAAAAAAAAACCCAACGGGAATGCAATGTTTTAGAACGTCATTTTGTGTTCCTCCTTGATATCAATGAGGAAAGAAAAGACTATTAAAGGCCCAGAGGGCGTGGCTCAGCGGCCGAGTGCTAACCCAGGACCCAGGTCACGGTTCCATTCCGTCAGGCCACACGCCCGGGTTGCGGGCTCGATCCCCAGGAGGGGGTGTGCCGGAGGCAGCCGATTCATGATGATGTTTCTGATGGATGTTTCTCGCTATCCCTCTCCCTTCCTCTCTCTCTAACTAAAGGCCCAAGGGGAAGAAGTGACATCTGTGTCTGAAAGGCGCGTTACCGAACAGCCTGAGCAGGTGCGGCGCCCCGTACACCTGGGACATGGGCGCGTCGGGGTGGTCGGCGAGGATCTCGGCGTACTGCGGCCGCTCGAACTTGTAGAGCAGCTGCGTGCCCAGCATGACGTTGAAGTACTCCTTGATCCCGGCCACCACCTCGTTCACCGCGTACTCCCTGGCAAACGAGCAGAGACCAGTCACACCCAGACAGCCCATGGAAAGAACTGAGAGGCGGGGACTGATTCATCACCGTGCGGCCAGGGACGAAGGTCAAGGTTAAATAATGAGATGAGGGTCAGGGCAAAATATGTGTATTTACAAATAAAATGAGATGAAATCTCTACTAAACAGATTTCTTTAAAAAGGGATCTAGCGCCCTAACCGGTGTTGCTCAGTGGATAGAGCGTCGGCCTGCGGACGGAAGGGTCCCAGGTTCGATTCCAGTCAAGGGCATGGACCTTGGTTGCGGGAACATCCCCAGTAGGAGATGTGCAGGAGGCAGGTGATCGATGTTTCTCTCTCATCGATGTTTCTAACTCTCTATCCCTCTCCTTTCCTCTCCGTAAAAAATCAATAACATATATATTAAAAAAAGGGGGGGGGGATCTAGCAAGCGCACAGAAAACCAATTCCACAAATAAACCCCTCAGGCTAAAAGTGATTTTTTACCTAAAATTTTACTATCTGCTCTGTAAGAAAAAGCTTGCAGCCAAACCCTTGTGTCAAGCAAGTGAAATTCTATTTTGTTAGTGTTTGATAGTGTTTTTTTTAAAGTAGGTACACATTTCACATAATCGATTCGGAAATAAGACTATTTGAAAACAGATAAAGAACTCTTTGGATCTAGTTCAAACAGGAGTATATTCCTACTTATTATCCGTGTTCCCGCGAGATTTCTTGTAATTCGCATAGTCCTCCAGGATGGAGTCCACGTTCTTCTTGGCAGGAAGATAGAAGAGCTATGAAAACAGAAACACACTTACATACCACACTATCCTTTTTAAAGGAAAATTACACTGGCCAAGCTTTAATGATAAAGAAAATCCCTCAACAGTATCACAAAACAGGAAAAAGCATGTTCACCACAGAAAACATGGCTACTGTGGCCGAGGACATTTAATTTTCCTGAACGTCGATTAAACAGCCAAACGCGGCCAGCGACTGCCATGGACACACGTAACCACCACTGCACGGAGGGCCGTCCGCGTGCCGGGCGCCAGTCCTTGTTCAGCCCGTTATCCACTCTGAGGCAGGTGCCGTTCCACTCCAGGTGGAACTAAAGTACAAACACCTGGAACCTGTGCCACCACAGATGGTCCATGGCAGAGCCAAGGTTCGGTCCTGGCGGTGTAGCCAGACCCACGTCAAGAACTGAATGCAGCCCATGTTGTCCGTGACCCGTGGCTCCGGTCGCACAGCACGCAGGAGTCCGTCCGTCCCCCCCGCCCCTGCCGTATGTCACAGGACACGGGCTCCCTGTCCGAGCCTCTCATCTGGAGCAGCTGTGGGGGTCCCACAGGCACCTCCTCACAAGGCCCCCACTTCCTGTCCACTAGTCCCCAGACCCAGCAAGGGGTCTGGTTCTGGTTCTGGGGAAGGCCACGCACACCTACAGGCGGCGCTGTGCGCTTCCTATGGCGTCTCATTAGGGGGCTCATGTGAGGACAGGAAACAGGCTTGTCTTTACCAGTTTTCAGAACAATTCCTGCGCTAGCAGCTTCCAAAATGAATCCTGTCCACCTTTCTGCATCATTATAAACGCACTTTTATGTACTTTGTTCTATTCTTCACACTCTCTCTGAATGACAGCGTTCACCAGTGACACCTCCAAAGCTCTGGTCCACACACCTTTCTCCTTTGACAGCGGTTTTGTTTTTCCACAACAGAAAGAACACACGCCCGTTATAACCAGAGGAGCTTCCCCGTTACCTGTTTCTGGCGGGTAATTAAGTCCCAGTCATCAACCAGCCATGGTTTCAGCTCCTCAGGAATCTTCACTTTGACTTCAACTCTGTTCATGAATGTTTCCTCCTGAAAGGACAGGGAAAGGTACTCTGAAATGTCCTCTCTGGCGTTTGTTCTCCACCCGGAGAGGCACCGGGTGTAAATCTTTCCGGGGCTCAGAGGCCGCCTCCCTGTCTTTTCAGAGTCAGAATGAAAAGACCATAAAGCAGCCGCTGGGAGCCAGGAATCTTCTCCTGATAGAAAAGCAGTTGACTCGGTGCCAGTTCCCGTGAAGGGAACAGTCCCTTAGCCGTTCCCTTCTCTTCTGTGAGATCACCTCCCAGGGCTCATTCGCTGAGCTGTTAGTGTTTCCGTATTTGTGATATTCAATGACCATCCCAAACACAACTAACGAGAAGTTACATCATCAAGTTAAGTGCACTGACGGCCAATGACGTCTTCAGTGACTCCTCGAGGTGCCTGATTTGCAGAGCACACCCTGTGTGAGTACATCACTGCCATGGAACCTCAGCGTCAGACATGCAAACTGTGTCAGTTAGAAGTAACATCCCCGCTGCCCATCTGATGTGACTCCACAGTGGAACTGACCCTCAAACCAGGTCGTGGTTCGGTGCGGGGTCAGGGCACATGCCCAGCTGTGGGATCAATCCCCACTGGGGGGCGTGCAGGAGGCAGCCAAGTGATGATACTCTCTCATCGTTCATGTTTCTGTTTCGCTCTCTCCCCCCCCCCGCTGCTTCGCTGAAAAACATTAAAAAACACTAACCTTGCTTTCAGGGTTATAATTCAAAATTCTGGAAGTTATCCTATATAATAAAAGACTAATATGCAAATCAACCAAACAGTGGAACGACTGGTCACTATGACGTGCACTGACCACCAGGGGGAGTGCTGGTCAGCCAGAAGCTGGGCTCAGGGCAGGTGGACATCCCCCAAGGGTCCCGGACTGCAAGAGGGCGCAGGCCAGGCTGAGGGACACTCCCCGACCACCACCACCAGTGCACGAATGTCGTGCACTGGGCCTCTAGTAAATATAACAAATTGGAAATAAGACTTTTTATCACTTAACAACTCAAAGCTAGCCTTAGCCGGTTTGGCTCAGTGGATAGAGTGTTGGCCTGCGGACTGAAGGGTCCCAGATTCAATTCCGGTCATGGGCATATGCCTGGGTTGCAGGCTCGATCCCCAGTGTGGGGGAGTGTAGGTGGCAGCCGATCAATGATTCTCTCTCATCATTGTTTCTATCTCTCTCTCCCTCTTCTTTCCTCTCTGAAATCAATAAAAATATAGTTTAAAAAAATTAAAAAATTCAAAGCTATTACACACACACAATAGTTTTCTGGGTTTATGGAGTCATCTTGTCACACACTAAGCCATTTAGTGTGACCTAATCAATCTATACTGCAAGTTCTCAATGTCATTAATAAGTTCTCCGACTTTGAGAAAACGACGTAAAATAGAACCAGCTGCACCACAGGCAAATGGATATAAACAAGAGTTAAGTACAAGCCGGTTTGGCTCAGCAGATAGAGCGTCGGCCTGCAGACCGAAGGGTCCCGGGTTTGGGTTCAATTCCGGTCAAGGGCACATGCCCAGGTTGTGGGCTCGGTCCCCAGTAGGGGGCGTGCAGGAGGCAGCCGATCAATGATTCTCTCTCATCATGGATATTTCTCTTTCTCTCCCTCTCCTTCCTCTCTGACATCAAATATATATAAAAAGAGCTCAGTTCCCACAGCATCTCCGCAGCGTTGGACAAGGTGACGTTAATGGAGACCTGATGCACAGACGACACCACAGAAATGTCAATCTTGTGCAGAAACACAAACTCGTCAACGTCGGATAAGCTGGGGGAGGGTATCGAACAAAGACACACCTAGAATTACAAGTAAAACCACACACACCCCCTGTATCCCAACAAGAGGGTTTTCCTTCCAGCAGTGAACCCGGTAGCAGCTCGGAGACTCGGTCCTGACCACCTGACTGCGCTGGCACCGGAGCGGAGACCAGCCACGCGGACCCGCTGCTGAGATGGAGGGGAACTCACGTTTTCCACAGTCGGGTCCACGCGCGCTCTCTTCTTGCGAGGAGGCTGGGGGGTCTCGCTGGTGCTGCCGCCGTCTCCATTCCCAGGTGCTAGAAACACACGAGGGTGAGAGATGTGTAAGTGATTAAAGGACACATTCGTCAGAAAAAGTCTCTCAGGACACACCCTTCTTTTCATTTTCCCGTGACATAGTGTTACCTGAATCTGTTAAAGAATCACATTCCGGGGGGGAAGGACACATATGTAATACCCTTTGTAATACTTTTAGCAATAAAAAAAAAAAGAAAGAATCACATTCCTACCACAAACGTGACCTCTGTGAACATCTACAATGCTGCCTCTACGAGGTATCTTCAGGGTCAGTCATTGAGAAAGAAGATGATGGAAATAACTGCTCTCAGGCTTCTCCAGGGTAAATGAGTGCCAGGTGCACTGGAGCTAGTGTGTCCCTACGGTGCTGATGTTCACACCCGAGGCATCAGTGGGCATGAGCTCACTCTAGGAAAAGCTCTCGCCCGGTCGGTGTGGCTCCGTGGCTGAGCACCGACCTTTGAACCGGGACTGATATTTCTCTCCCTCCCTCCCTCCCTCTCCTTTTCTGAAATCAATAAAAAACTAAAATAATAAGGAAATAAAAATAAATGTTAAAATTATAATTATGTGCTTTCCTAACTTAAATTTAAATCAATTTAAAATTCAATATTGTAAAACTAAAATAATGTTAATTATAATTATGTTAACAAAATATGCTTACTTTTCTGTTTGTTCTTTTTTGTTTTCCTGAAAAGAAAAGGGAGAAAGATAAATAATTATCGCCAGTAAGACTGCCTCTGTTCCAACTCCTTTTTATCAGGGTAAGTTCCTAGGGAAATACGGCCTCGAATGATAAAATCAGGCAGGAATAGTTTCCTGCTCAGACACAGGATTCTTATTGGTGGCTGGTTAAATCCACCTCTCCCCCCACATCGATATTTCTCGTCCCCCCCCCCCCCACCTTTTGCTCTCTCTAAAAGTCCATGGAAAAGAATATTCTCAGGTGAGAATTAAAAAAAGTCACCATATTCCAGCGTCTATGACCCACAAGCCCTAGAGCAGGGTAGCGGCGCCGACAGGATGCTCGCGGACAGAGCCGTGCGCACGGGACACGGGGCCTCGCTTACACTTCCACGCTCTTCTGCTGCAGGCCCGCCGTCTTCTTCCCTGGGGCCGCCCCTCTCATCTTCCCCTCCGCATACTGCTCCCTGCAAAAACAAGCGCAATGCAGTCGTCACAGAGCGAGTCCTTAGATGGAAAAGTCAATTGTGACAGCTTGATTCCATTTTCAAATTTAT